GCTTCTCCATGGGAGAGGTTTCAAAAGAAAGAAGTCCCTTTTCTTTCTTTTGTTCCCCTCTTCTTCCGAATCGGACTCTTCCGATGGATCCTCGGCATCTAACTCGTCTTCGGATGCCGACTCTTCCGAGGACATAAAATCCACTGTCATGACGTTGCAGTATTTTTTTTTGTCATCCTCAGCTATGGACGTAGACTGGTTGAGCGCTTTGATACGATTGGCCTTTTTCTGAGAAGAGAAGARAAGGATCGACAAATAACATTGTCAAACGTGGTATCATAATGTAATGGATTGCGCATACGACATGATTAGACCACAGTACTTTGGAATTTGAACCTATAAAATGGCCTCGCATATCGATTTCCAAGACTAATATTCAATCGTCGGATAACAAAGGAGCRGTAATGAATAGTTCACAGCGTCATATGAAACAAGATACACACTGAGGGAAATTATATTCACTCTAGCTCTTCCGTTATTCGATGATTGAATATTAACCCTGGAAAATCAGTAAATATTTATTTTGCTTATTAATTGTCTCATGTATACCAGATGTCCTATTTATTAGCCCGGGTGCTAAAAATTATCAGAAGTAATAAGAAATCGCCTATTGTTATTAAAATTTCTTTGTTTCTTATTGTGAGCGAGTTTCATTAAAGGCCAAGAAACCTTTTAAGATACCTTTCCTACTGGTCAAACGGGGACAAATTGAAAACCGAGACCATTGTTTTACTATATTATATGAGAAAAAGGTTCAACTCTCAAGCTGTTCACGAAAAAGTTTGATGTGCTTTTTTACTTACCGAGTTCAGTCGCGAACGCTTTCTTTGCTCTTTCAGCACTTGCGAGTCTTTCTTTTGTTCTTTGTTTTAACTTTGCTGCTTTTTTGTTTTGAAATGCACTCTCATTGCTCCTGTTAATCAAAATTGGAATTGTGTAAGCTATAAAGTCTTGGATCACTTATCATTAATTTAAAAACTTACTCATAATTAGCGTGGTAGAAGTCTTTGAATCAGTGCGTCGAACTCCTGCCAAGATCGCGGCATTTATTTCCCTATCTTGATCATTAAATCTGTAATAAATACCAGCGATTGATTGTTTAGGTATAGGTAGGGTAATTCCAATGACAATAACTGAAACAGTATGAATATAATAAAGACCTTTTTTGACAAGTCCCATTTTTTATCGCTTTTGTCATAAACTGCTCTTACATTGCTCTGCGATAAAAACAGACGAAAAGTCAATACCAGTAAAAGTAAAATTTCGTAGCCTTTGACATTGATATTTAACCAGTAAAAATCTCGCTTCATGGTGTAAAGCACGAGAGCTCAAGGTGC